ATTTATTTTTGAGAGAGGGAGACACAGAATCCAAAGCAGGCTCCAGGCTCTGAGCTGTCAGCACAGAGCCTGATGCCGGGCTCAAACCCATGAACCGCGAGATCATGACCTGAGCTGAAGTCAGATGCTTAACTGACTAAGCCACCCAGGCACCCCATACTGTTCATTTTTTTTTAAAGTTTATTTATTTGAGTGAGAGAGAGAGAGAGTGGGGAGGGGGAGAGAGTGAGTGAGTGAGTGGGGGAGGGAGAGAGAAAGTGAGAGAGAGAGAGAGAGAGAGAGGATCCCAAGCAGGCTCTGAGCTGTCAGTGAAAAGCCTGATACAGGGCACGAACTCACCAACCATGAGATCATGACCTGAGATGAAACGAAGAGTCAGATGCTTAACTGACAGCTACCCAGTCACCCCTGTTACTGTTCAAATACGTATAGAAAGATGTGTACAGGGGCGCCAGGGTGGCTAAGCATCTAACTCTTGGTTTCAGCTCAGGCCATGATCTCATGGTTTGGTTTACAAATTTGAGCCCTGCATGGGGCTCTGTGCTGACATCGCAGAGCCTGCTTGGGATTCTGTCTCCCGCTTTCTCTGCCCACCCCACCCCCTGCTTGCTCCTAGCTCTCTCTCAAAATAAATAAAAGTAAACTCAAAAAAAAAAAAAGATGTATATAAATGTTGAGCAGGTAGAGAGGCAGACTAATGTCAGTTATTCATTTCTTGCCTTTCTGCTCTAAATCCATTATTTGTGTCTCTGCTGTCTGATTTGAGTGCATCTGACTCTGCAAACTTGTTTCCCAGTCTCCGTTACTAATTGACTTTCTGTTAGGTTCTGCTAATAAGAGACACTACAGAGAGATGGAAGGTAGGAGGAAGAAAGAAGGAACTATCTCCCCATATTTCTGGTTTTTTTCAGAGTTGCTCTGTCGTTGGAAGTTGGCTCCAGCCTTCAGCTTCATTCTGCACGCCAAGAACCAGCTTTGTAAACAGCTCCTCTGAGGAATAAGCAGCAGCCTGCTGGTGACTTTGCCTGAATCTGAGCCCCAACTCAGTAGGGCCCTACCTGTGGTCTCTTTGGGTGTAGCAATCCCACCTCTTTTGTTCCCTCAGCCCTCGCTGCTTCATTTGGTTACGAGTTCCATGTCGTCCCAGTGTTCTCTTTCTCTTTTCGCTTTTAGTCTTCTAACTCCTGTGTAACCAATTCCCTGTATTAAATCCCTTCTATCTGAAATACATAATGTGGTTTCCATTTTTCTTACTAAGCCCTTTCAGATACACAAAATTACCCTCAGTGACAGAATAGATAAAGTGTAGTATTGACATGTATTGGAATCATATACGAGGAAAATAATGGAGAAACAATAGACAAATAACAAATTTTCTTTTAATAAAGAAACATTAAACTATATATTTATTGATCGACATATAGGTGATAAAACTATAAAGAAAAGCAAGGAAATGATTATCACAAAAGTCAGGATAGTGGTTGTCCCTTGGGGGGATGGATGAAGAGAAGATCTGTGTGTGTTTGGGAAGTCCTGGGTTCTTGACAACTTTCTATTTCTTGATCTTTAAGGAAATGACACAGGTGTTTGTTTTGTAAATATTCTTTAAACTGCACCTATGTGTTTTACATGCTTTTTTGTTCACATGACATACCCTGCAACTGAAAAACAAAAGAATATCATGATTGGCCTTGGCTATTTAGCTGGAGGCAGAAGGATGATAAGAGGGCCTTCTAGAAGTGAGGGAAGAGGGAAACGGCAAAGGAAAAACAAAAGACCAAGTCTGAGGTCCTTCCTGGAAGCCAAGAATTGAGGCTGAG